CACACACACACACACACACACACACACACAACTCTCATGCATTCAGTGTGAGGCACACACAATTGCCACTCTTCTCACACTCTTATGCCACACGACCATTATCTCATGCAGTGAAAAGCACCCTCAAACGAAAGCAAAAAGTGATCATGGGATATTAGCAGATTTTGCAACCTCTCCAGTGCATTTTTGTGTTTGAGCTCTGGACAGCATCAAAAGTTTCTATTTACAATGTGTTTTTGTAGCGTTGAGCAATGCAGCCAATCACAGATATATCTGTTGATTTTTTTGAACACCTCTGATTGGCCATTGTGTTCAAGCTATTCAAAATTCACTCACCGCTCAAAATTCGAGAAGGGTCTGGCTGCAGCTGGCGCTTGCACTCTCAGACGTGCATTCTCAGGCTTCTGGATTTTTTTAAGACTCCAGAGTTCTGCATGCTCGCGAGTACTCTCATTGTAACAAAGTTTATACACAATGTAAATAAGAGACTCATTGTGCAGTGTAGAGAGCTTAATTGATTATAACAGAATGTTGTGAGATCGGGATGAACTGAAGTGAATGACAGCTTTTTAGTGATTATAAAGAAAGCGCTCTTTGCGCACTTTAGGCTACACATAATCCAATCAGAATTTGAATAAAAGTTTTGTTTTTTGAGCTGCTAAGAGGACCAATGGCCACATACACTGTACACACAGCAAAGTTTCGGGAGTGACATCTAAATCCCTCATCCCTCTTATAAATGCGAGATTTCACTTTCAAAATCGCAATAATTAACATAGTGATAACCATAGGAAAGGACAGGAGAAAAATAGATGAGAATTCAAAATAGATGAACATTAAGCAAAGTAGGCCCTAAATGCAGACCAGATTAATTAAAAAAAAATGTTAAAGGGGTCCTATTATGCTTTTTCACTTTTTCAACTTTAGTTAGTCTGTAATGTTGCTGTTTGAGCATAAAAAAGATCTAAAAAGTTACAAAGTTCAAAGTCCACTTCAAAAGGAGATATTTTATTTAACAGAACTCACTTTTCTAAAACTACAACGAACGACTCGTTTGGACTACAACACATATTTTCTGGGATTTGTGATATCACAAATATCGACGAATGGGACGAGACCTGGCTGAGCTGCACTAGAGAAGGCAACGAGTGTTATCACTATGTCGGAGACACGCTAGCTTTCCCAAGGCAGACTAACTTAGAGTGGTTACAATCATCCGGGTTTAAATCGCGCTCAAATTGATTTGATATTTCAAGACTTTGTAAAAGAGCATAATAGGACCCCTTTAATTTTTGTATCAAAATATTTTTTTTGAAATGCAGTTGCAGTTATTTGGAAATGCAATGACTTGTAAATCTTGCAATTTGCTCACTGTACATTACTATTCTTGTTTTGGTGAAATGTTATTTGTTTTGAAGCATTGCAACAGTTATTTTACATAATTTTATGATAAAAGCACAGTACCAGTCGTCATGAGGTTATTTACCAGGTATGTCTAGCTGTCAGACAAAACTCTGCTGACAGATTTTTTTTTTTAAACAAAACAACCCCAACCAAACCCACCACCCCACCCCTCCCTCCGTTCTAACTCCAAGTTGAACTCAAAAGTTGGCAGCCCTGCAAACTGGTATCACTTATGCAGCTATACCTCATTACATTTACTGCATTTGATCATTATCAAGTCTCACTATGTCTAAAAAATGTCAATTCCAATAGCAGCTCAGCCGTACACTCTTAAAAAGAAATGTTCTTTATTGGCATCTATGGTGAAGAACCATGGAACCTTTTCATTACACAAAAGGTTCTTTAGTGGAAAAGGTTCTTCATATTTTTAAAATGTTCTTCACACTAAGAAGAAAATAGTTCTGTGGCATCGCTGCAAAACCCCCCTTTTGAAACCTGTAATTTTAAAAGTGTACTTGTAAACCAGACATGCACTTTCAACCCACAGAAGTCTATAATTGTACATGTATGTGTATGTAGGTGATGTTGGCTCGTCTAAAACGTGACCACAGGGTGTTTGCTGTAAAAATGCTGAAAAAGGATGTCATACTGCAAGAAGATGATGTGGAAGCAACCATGATTGAGAAGAGAGTGCTGACTCTGGCCCACCAGCATCCATTTCTTACACAGCTCTACTACTGCTTTCAGACTGCGGTAAGAGTCCACAAATAGTTTCAAGGTGCTAAATAGCATTTCATATAATGTATAGAGGTAAATAATTACAATATGTAGGAATTTTCTGTATTTATTTGTTTTTTCAGGTGTTTTACTCAAATTTTTAATTACACATTGCATTGTGTTGTGTTGTAGGGTTAAATGTAACTTAGCTGATAATGTCCTTGCAAAAAATTGCACCCGATTGTTTTCTACAGATTTACTTTTTTTTCTTACAGTGCACTTTGAATTCAGTGTGATTCATTAAACAGCCTTCGGCTGAAACAGCCAGAGCACATGCCAATCATAGTAATCCAGTCAGGGGTGAATTTAATGCAGTGTTTACGTGTTATCGGGTAGATAATCTGTAATGTGAGCCCAGAAGAAATCACGCTAGACGTAGCAATAGAGACTGATTTCTGTGACCCTGATTTCCATATTGACTGACAAACTGGGAAAAAAAAGTTTTGTTGAATGTAGACACTTCATTTCCCTCACTCAACCAGGAAACACAATGCAATTTGACAAAAACCCCTTGACATCATGTCAACAAAATGTGTTTAAATTCCCGAAATGCCTTGGATTTTATCTTCAGTCTGCTGAAACAGATTGCATTTTTCATAAGAATGTTACTTGGGGTAAAAATCTGACAGCTAAATAGCAGTAGGTTCAGTTACAAAAATGTTACAGAAAATTAGATGCTACTTATTCAATAATATAAAGTATAATAATAGTAATAGTATGTTTTAATAAGATTACTGCTCTTTCTGGGAGCGTAATTTAAAATAGCCACCTAGAATCCGATCTTTTAAAAATCATCTAAATGAGTGATGACTATTGTAATACCAAATGTAAACAGTAGATGGAGCCGCTTGTTTAGAATAACGTGTAGAACACGCTCACTTTCTGCTGAGAAGTATGGTCTCCAGACAGAGCGACTCGGTGAAAGTGTGGGAGGATTGTTAATTGTCAAGGGAAGTGGTGCAAGATTTCTGTCGACTTACACATTTTACATCTCCTGACCACAAACACTACAACACTACACATCTCTCTCTCTCTCTCTCTCTCTCTCTCTCTCTCTCTCTCACACACCCA